CTATTACTAATCCTTCGCTGTCCGTCCGTCTGTCTATCAGCGGGCTGTATCTCATGATCCGTAATAGGTAGACAGTTGAAATTTTCAAAGAATTGAGTATTTCTTATGCCGCTATAACAACAAATAAAAAAAGTAAAATAAAAATTAAAGGGGGCTTCCCTACTAGAAACGTGTATCTTTTGGCCTTTTTTGCTGGATAATAAAGTCTTTAAAAAGTACCTACATAGTATTAAATTTTGTACGATGGTGTGGAACCCGAGTCCTACTGTTACAGTCTGTTCGCTATACATACGCGGGTTTCGGATTACAAATTTTATGAGTATTTCCAGGTAAGTAACCGAAAGTTTGATCTGTTCTTTGGGGAAATATCAACTGGTTAAATGAAATGAAAAATAATGTACAACGTTTTAATTAAATAATAATGGAGAATCTTTTGTATAATTGAGAGCAGAATTAAACTTCTTTATTAATGGAGTCTAATGTGGCTATTATAAACCTAATAATAATTTTATATTACACTTCACACAGAAAATATGGTCTATGTATAATAAGAAGGTTATTTAGCTCAAATAAAATATTTTCTAACAAAAAAATTTGTTCCATGTAGAGAATTTCAAATAAAAAATAAAAAAATTTAACTTGCCAACAAAAATGAAAATCAGTCATCATCATCCAAAATATCATAATCGTCATCATCACTGTCATCACCATTAATTGTTATTATGATTGGACTTATTTCGTTTATTTTATTTTCACGAGTCCACCAATCTTCTATTAGTTTCTCGCACTTGAATATACAGTTCCGCCACACTTCTGGAGTTGCAATTGAAAGTGCCTTTCGCCAAGTTTCCCGAACTGCGTCGTCACTATAACCATTAGGCCCAATATGGTTGTCATAATATTGTTTTGCTATTCCCCATATATATTCAATGGGATTAAACTGGCAATGATACGGTGGCAGACGTAAAACTTGATGACCGTAACTGTCAATAATCTGATCCACAACAAAGGTTTTTGGTTTTGCGTGTATATTTGCCAAGCGTAATAATTCTGATTTTAATATATATTGAGGAAATGGTATATGTTCCTTTGTCAACCATTCTTTAATTTTATCAACAGTCCAAGAATTCGTTGGACTTTTGTTTAATACTTCAGAATAGTAAGGTGCATTGTCTAAAATAATTACGCTGGGCTCACTTAAACCTGGGAGAAGTTTTTCATGCAACCATTTTACAAACATTTCTGTGATCATATTATCGTGATAGTCACTGGATTTTGATTTAAGTGAAAATATTAAATTAGCCCCTTCTATAAAACCTGATTTCCCTCCTGCATGTAAAATTATGTGTCGCTTCCCTTCTCCATCGGTATGTTTGATGGACTTTACGTTATCATCTTGCCATATTCTCTTGGTTGCACCCCTAGAAAATATCCATGTTTCGTCTAAATATATAAAATTCGCCCCTTCTTCTTTAAATTTAGAATATTTTCTTAGAAAGTTAATTCTCTTGTACACGACAGAACTTCTTTCACAAAGGGCCTTTCTGTTATCCTCCTTTTGAAATTTGAAACCCAAGTTATGTATCACTTGCCATAGACTTGTTCTGCCAATGTCGTCACATTTTCTATCTATTAATTCCGAGAGAATTGTATTTAAGGTCACATGTTCCTTGTTGGCCCTCATTCGATAAATGTTATCACGAATTTCAAATTTCTTTCCATCTGGAATATCTTTCGTTTTCAATGATGGGCGAGTTTTGCGGTGATTTTCTTTCGGCAGTTCACTAGTGTGATTTTGTAATACTCCTCTTAATTTGGTTTCACTAATTCCTAGAGCATCGCATACGCGTTGTTGTACAGACATTACTCGCACTTTACCGTTTTTATTTTAATTTATCTGCCAAATCTTGTAGGTATATTTATTCTAGCACATATGAAATCTTGGTGTTACAGAAGTTGGAAAGTTTGACTGGAAATGCATTTCTAACTTCCCAAAAGTAAAAGTTAACCTAAGAAGAGTTTCTTAACATCCTGACCATCAAGGGGGCATACTTTTTTTTATCCAAAAAACTAGATTGTTTCTGTCGCAAAGCTTTGTTTTATTTCATTCCCAAACAGACTGTGCTACAAACCAAAGGCCGTTAGTCCCTTTATACCCCTTACCCCCATATTCTGCGTTAGGTGCGAGCCGAAGGTATTTGCTCGTCTACGCCCTTTTAAAAGAAATAAAAAAAACAAAGTTTGAACGACGCTAAAAGACGAGGCAGACGTCTGAAGTATTACAGGGCTCGATTTTGGGCGAAAAAATGGGCCAGACGCGATCTGTCAAGAGGAGTGAAATTTTTTTTGTTGCAGGAGATGAATAACTTGTAGGTCGTCTCTGACAAAAAAGTTTATTTATTTTTTGTTTATTTGGGAGACTAATTGTAACGGTCTAGACGAAAATCGGAGTTTTGATTGTTGGAATAAATATATCGCTGATACTATAGTTGTCGCCTACAGAAGTAAAAAGAATTATAGGTCAAACTTGGAGGCAATGAAATTTAGTTTAAAGAGCATCAATCAGAATTGTTGTAGAAATATAATAGGCCATACGTTTTATGTATTGTTTATTTTTTAGAATGACAATTAGACATTATTTTCAATAGTTTAGCGCTCCCATCATTAGATTTGAAAGTTGTTTGACGTTTTAAAATTAATTTTTAGACCAACCAAGCGGCAAAAAAATACATAGGCCTAACCTGTGGACCAGTTACCACTAGGTTTAGGGAACACCCACCTCAAAGTCTAGCAGATCATACATATTTGTATCTCTATCTTTCATGGACGCGAAATCTGCGAGACATTTGAAAAACTCGCCTGGTTCCTTATTATAAGAAAGATAGAAACCCTTTGTTTGAGAACTAAAATCCCCTTAATTATTATGGTTTAAGAGCTATATTTAAAAACTAGTTAATCTAAAATTAATAGTATATGGGCCGATTTTATGACTTTTCAAAAGACGGGAGAGATACAAATTATACTTTTTCAGTTGAGTGGCGTCAGTTGGCTCGTTAACATTGTAAATGTCAACTCCTTATTGACCTAAAAGTAAAATAACTTTTATACAAACATGACTTAACTTTTAATTAGTAAATAGATGGTATTGTTGACATAGCAACTTATACATTACTTAATTTTACCTGGTAGATTAGACAGATGCTTATTTTATGACAAATTAAAGTCATGATCGATCAAAACAATATTCAATGTGCAAATTAATTTTGCTTATATTTATTTTTGTTCGGGATTATGTCACATGTCAAGCAAGAAACAGTATATCCCTCTATATTATAATAGGCTAGATAACTAGATATTAATTCAATTGTTAATAACGGACTTTTTCTGACAATTGACTTGTTTTAGATCATTGCAATGAACTTATTTTACTTGGAAAGGGTCAAACTATCAACTGTTAAAGTTACGATAGTTATATCCCTATAACTATTGTATTTAAAATTATTGTATAAAATTTAAATTAGTTTAAATTTCAGTATGTCTCTCCGGCTTGTGCGCATTCTCAACTGCTTTTATTACTGAATTTAAGCAAATCCGTTCTAAAAGCATTATGATTTATGCAAATGACACTTTCTATTGTTTGTAGATTACAATCTGTTAAAACTTGGTATTTATTTGAGTGTATTATTATTTTTAACGTGTTGTTATGTCTTATCATAACCGCGTACATATTTCCAATATTCCCGTAAATAATCAGTATTTGTTGTGAACCGCAACCACAAATATCGAAACAAATAAGGAAACGTTATTTTAGAAAATATAACTCGACCGAAATGTACTTTTTTTTCTACACCCGCATGTATACTTTTACAAAATTTTAAAAACTGAAACACTCGAAAGTTGTGTGATAAAATTAGGTTTAGAACTGATAACCACAATATTAATTTATGAAAAAGAAATAGTATTATTATACCACCTCACAATTCACAAATGTTTAAAAAACATCAATTCGTAATTTTGGATCATCTACTAGATGTACTTAGATTCAATTTGTCTGTAACTGGGTTCAAAAATAAATGCAACAAGATAATTTTCGGTGAATAATCATCATAAATATTTTTATACAGGGTGAATCCTAAGTTGATAATTTTTCAACTATGTATAGAAGTCATTCAAATAAACAACTTTTCAAATATTTTTTTCAAATAAACTCAAATAAGAAACTTATAAAATGTATCCAATACGGTGTTGTACAACTTAATAACTTTTGTCGAAAAATGTTGATTACATTCATGCCGTTTTAAGAACCATTCAGAAAACTGGACAGGGATTATCATGTGCGAACTCAACACGTTACGTGTTGAATAGAGAGAGACATTACATTAGAATCGCATTCTGTCGAACGAAGATAGGCGTCTCAACACGTGCCGAATTGAAAGAAGATAATCCCACTGCAGAACTTTGCAGGGGAAACTGTTCAAATTGAACCTACAAGGAATACAATTTATTTTCCGCAGTTACCCATACTTTTCTTTGACTTATCTCACCTGATCTGCAATTATCCGCGCATTTGTTGTTGGATCTTCCTCGATAACGTTATTTAAAATGTGTTCTTCTAAACGCACGTGTAAACGTGATTCATATTCATAAGAAAAACCGAAAACATAAATGCATAAACATTAATTCGGTTAACTTTTCGTATACCAGGCCGGGTCCGGATTTAGATATTTTAATTCTGTATCGTTCTTATTTTTGAGTTTAAAAAAAGATGTGTATTTTAACGACTTTTATACATAGTTTAAAAAGAAAGTATCAACTTAGTATTCGCCCTGTTTAATGTATATTTGCATTTTACTTTTGTTACCTTAAGTTACTGCGTATGGAAAATGCCACCATTCCACACGCATTTTAGTTTAGAAAGATGTACTTTTTCGCATTGGTGCATTTAGATAAAAAATGCCATTAATTTATATGTAATTTTTAATTATAGTTTTTTTTTCTAGTTAACCTTTCCGGTTTTGGGAGGGTTGATATGTCCCACTTCGATTTGCTCAAAGTTCTCGGCACTGGAGGTAAGTACTTTTTATTTAATATTTCATAAATACATTAATAAATACAATAAATGTAAGGTATTTGCTTGCATAAAGCATTTTAATTAATAATAATCAAAATATTCGTAAAGGATATTTACCTAATTTCTAGCCCATTTTGTAATAATTATTAATAATTTCAATTTCAAGAGTTTTATTCATTAGATTACATCACTTAACATTAAAATTAAGCCCGACATTCTCTGTTTAAATTGAAATAATACTTTAATGGTGACATGCACCAGATATGCCTTACACGCTAAATAACTCTGTTTGAACTGACCAATCTGGCATGGTTATTGCTTATTAATCAAGTAGCAACATCAGGAGGAAAGATTAAAGAAGTGTTAATAGATGAGAAACTCAATGATAAAGTTCTGATGCGATATGCTGCCATCTATCAAATTGATATGATACTAAATTCAATATGGCCGCTTTTAGAAATTTGACTTCCTGCTAGTTACGCTAAATTGTAATGAAGAAAAACAAAAAATTAATTGGCAAATCATAATATGCCATTTTATATTTTTATTTCATATTTTTGCATTAATTTCAAACTTGAAACAAAATACATTTTCTTCTTCTTTTTTTATTACAGTAAATTAATGCTGCGTCATATAATTTTTTTATTAACATGAAAATTTGTGCTCAATAAATTTATGAGGGTTTTGCGACTTGGAGTGGCAAATAAGTTTGAAAAAAATTGATGTTGAAGAGAGTGGTCCTTTTGGTGTGGATAACGTTTGCCACATGCTTATCAAGCTCACTAGTTAAATTGGAGAGCATTTCTTCATCAGATAATTTTTTTATTGATTTATTTGTGCAGCATTTGTTGTTTTTCAAATGCTATCCTATCGACATTGCGATAAATGAATTTAACTTGGGATTAAATCCTTTAAGTGTTTGAGCCAAGTTCCACTCAATAATAGTTTCTGGGAATCTAAAAATATATATTTGCTCAATATTATAAATTTTTTGTGTTAATGTGCATTTTTTTTTTTTTTTTTTTTTAATAGAATTGACATATTTTCTTGTTTGTTCGATACTTTTTGGAATTGCTATATTTAAATTCCGTGATTTATTTGGAAGATATAACAACGTCAGCCAAGATACACAATATTGTTATTATGAAGAAAGTCAAGACAGTAATATTGTGCGAATTAATGTGAATCCGGAGATACACAGTACATATAGAAAATTTGATATTTTAATGCCTGTATAGTATTAGCCAAAGGTACAGTCACTCGTATTATTTTGTGAAATTTTATTACTTAATTATGTAAATATAAAAAATCCCGTAGAATGAACTTGTGAATTGCACGGTATACTTAAATTTTATGAACATCTCTGCATTTATGACAACTAAAATTTGAGAGAGAGAATGAACTCGCATGTCTGCACTTCGTGGTAAATATTGTATAGAAGTATAGACCACCTGTCCCACATATGTGTATGAATCTGGTTATACAGATGGTCAATTTTTTCGGAATCTCTTCTTCAACGAGAGGCTGAAGACGTGTGGCATGTGGTTGGTTCTAACGGGTCAGGTGTTACTTGACGAAAATAATCAGAGGTCCACAGAAATTGAGTTTTTATGAAAATTTGTAACAAAAATAATGAAGTTTTATTTTTGTATTTCTGTTAAACAATGAAAAGGAAATATTCCTTATTATTTACCTTATTTGGTCCATTTTCGTTCTATTTATTTCTGAAAAATAAGTCCAAAAAATGCAATGTTAGTTTGATGGTAACAATACTCTTTAGAATTTAAGGTGTGTTAAAAATCGGCTACTGCTAAAAAATACGGAAATGAAATTTGCATGTTTATTGCTTCTACTTCTCAATTATGAATAATTGAACACAATGCAGCATTTAGGTATTTGAATACGCGTTTATTTCAGATTCAGCTAATAAGTATAATGTTGTCGAGAAAGAACCTTGAAGACACTATTATGTAGATTAGATATGGAATAACATTATTTCCGATAAAAAAAAATAATTTATAAATTACAGAATACTGTCTATAATATCTCAGCTGCTCGTTCAGTTTATATGTATATTAATATAGTATGAAAAACATCTTTACTTGGGGCGGATGCGGATTTAATTCATGAAAAATTTAAACAAAAATTACACGATACAAATGTACTTAACAGGAAAAAACTTTGTCATCTTATCTCTCAGTTTCTACAACTTTTCTAATATTGTCGACTTATCTGTTCAGTTCACCTCTGTCTTCTTCTACATATACTTGCTCTGCTTCCTTCTGTCTTCCCCTCTTTCTTCTTCACGGGGCTTCACTCACTTCTTTCTTTTCTCTGCTTCCTCTGCTTCTTTCCAAAATACTACTTTCCTGATTTTCTTATCTTTAGTTCCTTTTTTATTCTTTATATTTATCATCTTTATATTATTTTCAAGATTCTTTAATCGTTTTGTGTGAATCATTCAAACTTCTTCAGACAATTTTATCTTTTGACAATTCAATCCCTAAACTCCTTAATTTTTTGTATTTTCACAAACCATTTTCAAGAACTTAACCTCCCCAGAATTAATTCATGTAATTTTGCCAAATAAAAAAAATACATGACACAATTTATTTCGACGATTTGAAAAATAACAGCAATCGATTGTTTTTAGAAATTAGCAAAGTTAGGTGTCACTTCGGGCTTTAGGACATAAAAAAAGACAACACAAAAAAAATAGCACTATACGACAAATAGTGCACATAACAAAAAAAGATACGATAGAAAACTGGGATAAATTTTTATAGAAATAGATATTGAGATCACTCAATTTGAAAAAATAGGCAAATAAAAATAGTTTCTATAGGAAAAGTTAATAAAGTGTGCACTGCACTTCAAAAAAGGCTTCTTAAAAGGGCATTATGCGACGCAAAAAGTACAGCACGACAAAAAGAGCACAACTGACAAAGAGGAACACACCAAAAGATAAATTTACATCATCTTATGTTTTTTACAACAAAAAATGTTTCTGCATCACAAAATAAATACACTCCACGACATTTAAGACTTTTTTGTCTCTTTATTTTATGTATCCCAGATATTTTGTTAACAATGGTTAATATTTTAATCACAAATGAAATTATTACTATCTTTACTATCTTTGCTTTGCCTATGTTATTTAGATTTGCTTTGCTGTTATTTAGCTTTGATTTGCCTATGTTATTTAGCAAAATACCAATATTTTGAGACATTAATAGCTGTTTGCAAGTCAGTTTATTAAAATTTACGAGCCCAATAAACAGTGATAGATGTTTATTTGAGAATGATATTTAAGAATGATAGCAAAATTATATAAAAATATAGACTTTTGCCATAAAAACTGTGCTATCATGCATTTTCAAATAAACTATAGTCTGTAATTTATTGAAGTTCGTGTCATTTAGACAGATGCCATTCTTAAGTTTTGTCAAAGGTTATCACTCATAAACTTACAGCCGATTATAAAATTGAAATAAACTATTTTGACAATATTGACAATTCTCTATAAAAGGTCGTGTCTTCATGAACGGTTTTAGAGAAAGGCAACTTTTTACAAAAATTATTAGTTTCTTGGTACAAAAACAGAATTTTTTCTAAAGTTTGTTTGACTTTTGTGTCTTTTTTTTTTAATTATTTTGACAAAATGAGTTTAAGTGGGGGACCTTTTAACGGATTTATGTCTTATATTTCATCTTTTTTTTTATCTAATTGATACAGAAAAAATAAGGCCATTTGTAAAGTAGACACGAAATAGTGCACATGACGTATTTATTGCTGTGAAACAAAGGTGAAAGGCCGTTAAAAAGTCGGTAATTAAACAATTATTAAATAAAATAAACCTGTAAAAATAATCAAAAAACACGCTCAAAACTTAAACAAAACTATAGAAAAAGAACACAACTGGTTTCTTACGTGTTTCTCCAGTAACCATACATTTTATTGGCAGCAGAATCATATTAAAAATGAAGAATACGATTCTCACGCATGCTCAGAATTCATATATTTTGTTTAGCTTATTCTTAAGCATAATACTATTACCAATAATAAAAATAAGTTGTATAAGTAGTAATATGTAAATATTTTTCTCATTTAAGCGCATGCAAAAATATTCGATAATTTTGTACACGAGTATAAATATTATATGATAACGTGTTAAATAAAAGCTCGGATATTTTAACACAATGACTTGAGTACTTGATTATTGATGTCAGTTTCAAAGGGTAGATAACGGGGCATTTATTTCTATTGAGATAAACCGTGGTTGTGGGGCGATAAAAGCAAATTCATATTTCAAACAAAATTTGAGTTTAATTACAGATAAGGTGGACCTTGGTTTTTAATTTCCTTTAAAACTAATGAAAATGGAGAAAATTGTTATACAAAAAAAAAATAATTACAAAAAAATATTAATTTCAATAAATTTCTCTATTTCTTTTTTGCCAGCTTCTCCGCTAGCTCACACATTTTCTTCTTTCTTCTGCACCAACTTACTCTGCTTCTGTATTTAAAATTGCTTCTACCCTTGCTCTGCTATCTGGTCTGTTCTTCTTCAACGTTATGAAATCAATTTTACCGTTCTTTCCTTTTTAAACAGATACAAATTCTTCACATTCAATGAGCAAATATCTATAAATTTCCATCCAAAACCCTTTCTTTTCCAAAAATCTAACTGTCAATCCGCTTCAAAATTTCAGAAATTTCTTTCTTTTTCAAAATGTAATGGTTTTCTCAAACAATTTCTAATTTCCAGACCCTTACCCATCAAACGTTGATTAATCAATTTCGACAACAAAAAATACTCATTTAAATTAATTTTGAACCAAATAATCAATATATTATGTCTCCTTCCTTTATTAAAATAAGTCGACAGAACATCGCCAAAACATATAATGCAAAAATCAAGTAGAATCATCAAAAAGTTTTCTTTTTATATGAAAGGTTTTACACCATAATTTGGCAAACTTCTTCACAATCACATAA